CCTGAATCAGCTGTCTTTCGCACACGAGCTTGCCGTGATGGTGCCGGCCTGGAAGCTCTCTCCAATGGTTCCAAGAGGTGATCTGAAAGAACAAGAGGTGGAGGGGTCAACTTCAGCATCTGGAACACTCGAAACTGCACAGGCCGTGTAGCATTCATGATCATTATCGTTTATGCGCCTCTGGGATCGTTGGTTGTGTCCGGCGTCCGCGAGCTATTTGAGGACACCTTGTATCGTAACGGAACCTAGCATTCGACCAACTCTTGGAATCTGTATATTGGATACAATCATAGACACTGTCACTTTGTTAAAGAGGAGCTCGCAAAGGCCGAACGTGGTGCTTGAATCGCTTGTACGGTGATTCTCTGCGAGCCAAGACTATAGGTTTAGATCTGTCTCAAGAATTTGCACTATACCGCATATGTCTTCTTTATTCCCTTTTGTAACATTAATATCCTTTGTATGTGGGGTCTAAAAAAGCCCCGAGCCTAATCCGCGTCACACAAGTGATGTGGGATTTGACGGGTTTGGACGAAGACACATAGTCCTCTAAAGGTGCTGCCTGCGGTGGATATAGGAGCAACACGGTGCGTTATGAACAGCGTACAAGTGGCCTACCTTTCACATGATCCATTTTTTTCTCTGTCCCGCAGATAATGTTACTTGTAAAATAATTGAATAATCTTGCTGAAAAAGAAGTATCGATCAAAAGCTGTTTCTTTGTCACGTTTAATGCATGTAGAGGTATAGGGCTAATCGAACATTCATTTTCCTTTTTTTTTGTAGTTCCCATTGTTCGTGTTTAGTCACCACTAAGTGTATAGCGTTACGTCACGTACCACAACCGTAACACACTCGCACAACAACATTACCATCCAAGCACACACACACAAATACTCATACCGCCACCAAGCGCATTGCCCACGATCCCCGCCGCCACACGCCACCGAATGCCCAACCCACGCACCGGCCTGCGGGTGTCCGCGCTGACCGCTGCCGCTGTCCTGCTCGCGCTGCTTGTCGGGACCCCGCTGATCGCTTCGGGGCACCGTTGTATCTTCGACGAGATGCAACGCCTGCAGCTGGCGACCGGCACCAGTGCCGTCCCCGAGGTGAGGGACCGCGGGACGCCGCAGGGGCAGGGCGCGGAGCAGCACGGCAGCCCCACCGCCCCTGACTCATGGAAGCGGATCCGCATCTCGGTGTTCACCGAGGACCTCGACGACAGCTCCCGCTACTGCACTCGGCCTGGGGAAATGAAGCCTGATTTCTCTGGCTCCATGCTGTTATGTGATTCCGATAACATTCTCACCGACGAAAAGAAGCAACTCTTGCGTGATCAGATAATCCCCAACGCAGTGCAGATGCATAAGGACCGCCTGCTGGTGCAGCCGATCAGTGGCAACATCCGTGTTAGAAACTTCAAGTGGTCCATCTGTTCTCAGTTTACGATTCCCCAATCCCACCACACCACCGGTGTTCCGAATGCCGACTTCGTACTATATATTGCGCCGGGACCAATCAAAGGTAACATACTCGCATGGGCACTCTTGTGCCAAGTAGACGACGATGACCGCCCCTTGGTAGGTGTAACGAATACTGGATCAATAGACCCTACTAACATCATTGATTCTACACGTACCCTGACGCATGAAATATCGCACGCCTTGGGATTTGACGTCGATTTTTTTATTCATAAAGAAATGGTTAACACTGTGTCTGTTCGCAATAAGCCACCAAGTTACGTTCTATCTTCGCCCAAAGTGGTGGAGGTCGCTAGGATTCATCACGGGTGCAGCACCATGCAGTACGTGGAGTTGGAGGACGTGGGTGGCATGTCTGCTGGCTCACACTGGAAGATGCGTAACGCAAAGGACGAATTGATGGCTCCTGTTAACGGTTCAAACTTCTACACCGCCATCACTATCGCGGCGATGGAGGACACGGGCTACTACAAAGGCAACTACCGCAATGCTGAAAACATGGTATGGGGTAAGAATGCCGCCTGCCTGCTGTTTGATAAAAACTGCGTTAGAAACGGTGTGTCGCAAGTGCCAGAAATGTTCTGCGACAGTATTAGTCATTCAAAAAGTGAGTTAAAATGCACATCAGACCGAATGGGTATTGGTAACTATAGAATAAATTCAGATACTACATTACCAACATATTTCCAATATTTTACTAATCCAGAAATGGGTGGAACACATGATTTAATGGATTATTGTCCGTTCATAAAAGCATATCCACATACCGAATGCTTAAATGGAGATCCAAGTACACTACCCGGATCTGTATTCTCAGAATATTCACGATGTTTCTTCGCCCACCAAAACTCTCAGTTCAGAATAGGTAATCTATTCTAAAGAAACTACCAGAGTATGAACGCTATATGTGCAGAGGTCTTATGTGACCATGACAATTTTAAATACCGCATACGCACAAAAGGGTCAGATAACTACATAAACTGCCCACATGGAGGTACCCTATATTTCGACATACTCAAACACGTATCCGGTTTGTTAGAATGCCCAAACTATCATGAGATATGTGATACCGAATATTTCCACACAATCAGAAACGATGTAGGGATTTATATTGACAACGAAAAAAGAAGAAAAGAGGCCGAAAATAAAAAAGAAAACAACCTCAATCCACATTTAGGAACTGTTGTAATTGTATCAATTGTTTTATTAAATATATTCGGAATGCTAATATTTTGTTTCGTAAAATGGAAACGACGTGTAAAACTCCCAAATATTAATAATCTACCATAAACCCAATTTAAAAAATAAAAAAAACATTTATTTTACTATTAAAAATGTCATTATAATTTCATTGGAATTTCAACCAATTCGTGGGAACCATACATAATAATTTCAATCACAATATAAATTGTCGAAAATTGTTATGAAATCAGAATCCCAATCCTGAAATCGGTCTTTTATAAAATATCATAAAAAAAATTCAAGTATAATCAAATATATAAAATTACCAATAATCGCTAGAACGAACAGAACTACTGTCCAAAGCTTCCCATTTCCTTTTTCCTCACGTTCTATACGTTCTCTTTCTTCTTTTTCCGCACGTTCTCTATTTTCGATATTCAGTATATATTGAGCATGACGTGTCCCCTCCTCATCATACAAACGATTGCGTTCGGCGATATCAGATTTAGATAAATTTAATCGCTTGTACAACTTCTTCTCATTTTTATGAACCATTTCCCATAATTTTGCATTAACCGTTGTGTCATCGTAACCTTTGAAATACCAAGTATCAATCCAGGAATCACACGCTACACGGGTTACCGGTCTACTAGAATCGGCAGTAGATATACAGATTCGTCGAATCGCCCGATCCCGGTCCCCATAGATCCGACGATTCCATTTGAGATCACGTTCAAATTTATCACGGTTTATTTTTTCACGCTCAAGTTTCAATTTATTGGCCATAGTATCTAAATGTTTATTGAGATAATTCTCATCCTTATTATAACCCCGCACTTGTTGAATTATTTCATTACATTTGTCACGCGTCATAGGTTCCGGTAAATCATCCGTACTTTGGCAAATGCTTTCGATAGTTCGTTCACGCTCCTGAATCATTTGTTGAGCACGATTAGACTCTATTTTCATTTCACTCTCTAAGGTTTTCAAATATCCGAGGATTTTTTCAGAACTTTGACCCTTTTTTAAACGATCAACTATGGTTCGCCATATCCTATCACGATCCTGACCCATATCACAAACAGAGTCCATAAGATCTTTGTAGGTATCCCTTTCAGCTTGAACAATATCATCCCGCGTCTTCTTACAGGTAGCATAGTCATTTATATAGTCATCGATAATTGAACAATACTGTTGGACATACCATAAATGGGCTAAATAGCCACCCAATACCCCGTTTATTTTTGCCTCTTTCATCCCACATTCACGGAATTCATTAATATAATTTGACAACTGATCATATACACTTAAAATATCATATTTTAAACGCATGAACATCTGTTCCTTTTTTTTTTACAATTTGGGCATTAGCATATTGTCAATCCGTTAGTTCGGCGTCCGTAAAAAAACAATAGCAGCACGTTCCACATTTAGATTTTCTATACCGGTACGCGTCTCTAATATTTGTTCCAAAATAGCATGCTGTATATTTTGCAATAAAAGGATTTGATTTTTTTGTTGAAATTTTAAGCCATCAATGTGCCCATTCGCAACACCTTCAATCACAGATTTCGACACATCGCGTTCTGTGGCGCCCACCTTTTTCATTTTTTCGGAAATATGTGGCGGGAAATCCTTATGCATCAAAACACACACAGGTTCCAATTTAGAACGTAAAACATTCCGTCTTTGTTCAAAATCCGAAACCTTGAAAACCGTCAGATCAAACAACAAATCAATTCCACGCACGGAATTAACCGTATCAACCGCCAAACGATTTGCATTATTATATCGATTACTTTTTAAATCGAAAATTTCACGTTCCAGTTCATTCAGATCGGATATTATCCTTTGATTTTTGGAATTATCATCCTTTTCACGCGCTTTAGACCACTTTCTAAACTTATCTAAACCCTCCTCACGTCTTACTTTACAGCGCCGCACCATATCTTCCACTTCAGTTTCTTTACATCGTAACGGCCAATTATATACTTTTTGCCCATACATCATAAAATATAAATCTCCATCTTTTTTCGCATTTTTCCCCACAGGATAATCATCTTCATTATCCGTCCAGCCACTTAATAAACTTCCAACCGTAGATGCAACACCAAAAACAGTTTCACCAACACCCTCCACTGCTGTTTGAATACGAAATTCGGTTGTTTCACTAGCATCACGCTCCGATCCCCCGACTAAAAATATATCTCCATGAAACTTCTTAACCATCCCAAAAGTAACATTATTCGCGACACAAAATCTATATAGGCCATCTTGAATAGAACCCAATAAATCCTTATATTCCTTTTTTTTTGCATCCCCATCCTTTTCAACATAAATTACAAGATCCTCTTGTTCCTTCACTAAAACCTGTTTCCGCTTCTCAAGTTCCTTTATTTCCCAGTCAATCCTTTCATTCTCCAATCGGTTCTGAGAAGACAACTTCACCAAATTACGAACCTCACGGTTTTCTAGATATTTGATTGCACGTTAACCCTTTCAAGTTCCATAGTGTCATCCTGTCTTTGAACTTCGTGACGGTATTCAACAATACGATCACTTACCATCAATAAATGCAAATCCAAAAACGACTCAACAACCCCAGACTGTCGTAACTGTTCAACCATACGATCAAATTCATCCTCGGAAACGCCCAACTTCCCCATCTCACCCTTACGGAATCGCAATTCCTGTTCAATAAACTCCCGTTCTTTTTTTTGTTTTTTATCAGCTTCGCCCTTCTTTTTTTTTTCGTCCTCGGCCTCTCTAATTCGTTTTCTTTCAGCGGCCTCTCTATTTTTTCTTTCAGTTTCGGCATCAGTACGTGCCTTTTCCTCAGCTTCTAAACGCGCTCTCTCCTCAGCAGCAATACGTCGTGCTTCATTCTCCTTTCGGATCCGTTCGTCTTCATCCTTGCGCCTTTGGTCATCGTCCGCTGCTTCACGTGAACGGTCTATCGCATTATTTTCGGACGTCCGATTTATTTCGTCACCCCTCCCCTCCCCTCAAGACGGACAACTGTCGTACCTGAGACATTTACCGGAAGGGATGGAAGTTTTTTCCTGGCATTGGACGCAAAGAACCTGGACGAGGGGTGGATATAGGAATTGAATAACGAGTATTAAAATACTTGGATCCTACTGGGTCAAAGTGATGATGCCCACCCCCTGAAAAAACAGAGCCACCATGTGAAAAGGGTGAAGCAGGCAATGGAGGCGGAGCATTCAAAGGCGTTCTTGCAAACGGATCAACATGAGACCGATTACCAGATGACCAAAGATCGGATAGCCCACCATGGGGCAATAAATCAGAAACAGATGATCCAGGTGGATGAACAGTGGATAGATATTCGGTAACATGCGCAGGTGGACGAACCGTTATCGGACCCGTTATATGCGCCAAATTGCCACTGCCAACACTATGGGTTCCAGTATGTGCAGTACTACGAGGTGTGGGTTCCATAATCACCACATTTGGGTCGGGATGATGACCCGTAACCATTTGACGACCCCGATCAATAATATTTTGCCCAGAAGGTGGTAAAGAATATCGAGGCGATACCACTTCTATACCAGTTAAATGTGGCGGGACACCAGAAGCACGAACATTTCTAGCAGATGACTTTGATCCAATTACATTACTTCCAACGTTAATACTCTCAACTTTCCCATAACGGGGATAAAGAAGCGATTGAGACGGAAAAGTCTTTGGATTTTCCTTTCTGAGACTCAAATGATCGCCTGATCCATCCGAAGGACGACCATGCTTATCCCCTATCATTAATTGTTGTTCGCTAGCTTTAAGAAGCTTAAGCTCATCCGATAATTTAGAAGTCGGATTCATCATTTTCCCCATTAGATACATACCGGCCACCTCCGCTCCCGCGCCAAACAAAGCGCTACCACCGCTAACAGCATGTCCAATCCAAGCATCACTATGTCCAGCAGCCGCCAATCGTTCTTCATGCCGCATGCGATCATCAGACAACTTGATCTGCAATGCGTTGTTCCTAGCAGCCGAAGCCTCTTGTTGTTGTTTCGCAAGATCTGCTTGCTTTTCTAATAATTCCTTAGCATTATCCTGTTTGATTTGCTCTATTCTTCTATATAAATCAATTTCATCCTGAATTTGCTTCTTTCGTAGCTCTTCAATCTTCTCTTCATCCGTCTTCTCCCTATCCTTACACTTCTTCTCAAATTCAGACTCTAACTCCTTAAACCGTTCGTTTAATACACTAACAAACACATAATTCCCTATAAAACCAGGCGAAATATCACTGGTCTTTATAGGAGTTGCATGAGAAACAATAAACGGCATAATAACTTTTCCTGCATTATCTTCTAATTCCAGATTGGTCGACAATCGAGGGATCGCCAGAAGCTTATATTCCGTAGCTTTCGCTGTTCGGTCATAATAATTATCATCCAACTTCGACTCAGTCACCACACTCGGCGTATTAAGATAAACCGAATTATTATGTAGACGTAAAACGTCCCTATCGGGCAACACGCTAGGCGCCTTCTTAGGCTCTAAGAAACATAAGGTAGGGTACCCAGAATACTGCAAATAAGGTAGAACCCCACGCAAAAACGTTTTATCTACTGCATTGGTTCTAGGAGGATCATATAAATACAATCTTGGAAGATTGGTATGATAAGCATCTGGATCATAAATATAATAGGACCCTTCCTTATCTGCCCGTTGGTTATAAACAGCCACTCCAATAAGGGCATACATGGGTATCTTCTTATCTGATATAACAAAAGGTGTCGATACGTCACTCTGTATATCCTCAGTCGTCGGCGCTAATAAATTATAAATAACACCCTTACTAGATGCAAATGGCTGATAAAGATACAATTCACTGGTATGATTGGTCAAACCAGGTTCATAAACAATTTCAAGAATCGTGGGCGTCAATTCCGGACGATATTTCCACGGAATCAACGTAACAGATGGACCAAAGGATCGAATCCGATCCACCACCAACATCGGTTTCCACCCCTTAACGTTGTCATCATCCATAACATCGGATGCGTACACTTGCAATTTGCCAGCAGCGACATCATCCTGGATTTGCTTCCGAACTTCACCAATCAATTCCAAACGCCGTTTGGCAAACTCCTCACGCCATTGGGCTATCATCTGTTTGGTTTCCCTTTCACGATCATCAAGAGCACTAATAATTTCACCCATCTCTGAAATTTTTACATTTTTGATCCTATCATATTCAATATTCATAACATGAACCTTGTCATTATACGTCTGTTTCAAAACCTCCAATGAAACTTTTAAATCCCGATAACGGCCCCTTAACCCTTTAAAAACGTTATCACCATTATTAGATTCAGATGGCTCTTCGTTGACATCTTTATCGGTACCCTCCAACATCAAAACATCTTCGGACGGATCAACTTCATATTCATTCCCATCCACAGAACCATAACAAGCATCCGTTTCATCTGCAATATAATTCTTCAAATAATCAACCTCCTCTTGGGTCAACCTCTTTTTTTCGATATGATATTTTTCTAGAATAGCAACGGATTTTCGATAAGCATCGGCATTCTCACAACGTTGACTGATCCGAATCCCCAGCAACCCCTTGAAATAAGTATTGATATACCCTCGATACGGATCATAAGCGCCCAACGCTACAGACGTATTCAAACAATAATAATGATTAGAGTTAAATTTCATATAAGTACGAGCTTCCCAGCTATAGGTTATCGAGATCTGGGGTGGCAATACCTCGGACGCGGTAGACTTGTCAATAAATTCCGAATAAGCAAGAAAAAACGACTGCCGAGACGGCCCCACTATCTCGGATTCATACCCTTTTCGAAAACGAAAAAAAGTACAGTAGGCATCAGGATTATCTTTATACCGTCTCATCGCACTTCCACCTCTATTTCCCCATGAAGTGGAAGAAAAAGAATGAGGTAGTCGGAACGTTCGCGTAACGGACTGACATATGGAACCCCCATAAAAATAACACTTCTCATATTGGATAATCCGAGGCCGATACCGCATCAAGGAATTCACTTTGGCATCAGGAACCTCATCGCGGTCCCGTGGATACTTCCGCGAAAAGACATAGCGTTTCGCCTCACCAGTCGAATAAGACTGAAACCGTTCACGAATCTCATCATCATACAAATCAACAGGATTGTCCACCCTCTCACACACCGGCACGTACACATCCATCAAATACAAGTGGACCACAAACGACCGGTCCGACGGACCCGTCTGCCCCTCCAGATTTTTGTTATTGACACTCACGCGAAGCTCAAATCCGAAATCAATCCATAGGTGGGTTTCAGAATAAAAGATGGCTCAACAAATATACCATTTGTCAGTTTAATTGGGATCTTAAACATAAAACGATAATCGATAAATATGGTCGACCACTCGCACCCCCACATTAGTCTTTGAAACAGCATTCGCACTATTATCGCGACAACGTTTACTAGGATTCCGTGTATGATTATAAAGTACAGAAGGTTTCTGATCAGCCGTATACCACGAATCATTTTGATAATAATCTCTATAAGTTTCCCTAACGTCAAAATATGTCTGCTGAGGTATCACACTCGGCAC